GAAGGAGATGCTTGATGGGTGGCTTGATGCAGCTGCATTTGCAGGAGACTAGTTTTGACCTGCTCTCCTGTGCTAACTGAGCAGCCCTCGGCCAGTGTAGGGAGCTCCTGAAATGGTGTTTGTGCAGCCAATGAAAAGGCATTCAAAAGCCTCCTGAGATGCAACAGGAGATTGGCTATGTTGTGAGCACAGGGTATGGCAGGGACTCTGGGTCAGTCCACGTAATATGCTCTTTTCAGGTGTGAAAGCATGAAATTCCAGGCCCCTAAAGCTGTTTCCGTGACCCTGAGGGAAAACTACAGCATCCCAGAGCGCTGCCTGGGCATGAGGGACATGCTGAAGAAATTCAAAGGTAAGGCAGCTGCTTTTGTGCTAGATCCTGGCATGACTGAACCCCAGGCCTCCTGCTGTACCCTGTGGCACTGGGAGAGCTGTCTGTATGCTTGGTGCAGACACAACTCTGCTCTCGTCCTTCACTGCTGCTGGTGTTAGCAGATGGGCTCATATGAGGTCCCTGACAAGCAGCAGTGAGCTGTGCTGGTGACAAGCACTCAAACTGGAAAACACCTTTGGCAAACATTGCTCATTCAGGAGGGGATCCTAGACTGCAGCCTGAGGCCCTGTCTACACTAGTTTAAGTACAGCCCAGTGCAGTACTTTGGCGCATAGAGGGTTGTGGTTCATGTGAAGCATTTCCAAATTGGCTGTGGTAAGAGAGTTCATCCTGGCTTGGACTCATCTTTAAATGAAATGATTTCGGATCATCATCTTTTTATCTCAGATGGTACAGCTTTCTCTTTAGCACAAATGCTAACTGCAGTTTATTTTTTCAAGTTTTGTTCAGTTGGTCCCACTTTACCTACAGATGAGTTCAGATTGTTTTCAGAGTGAGTGGGGAGACTTTCCTAATTCTGGTCTTGGATGGTTTATGAAGTGGCCTTGAAGCATGAGAGGGTACCTAGGAACCTCAGGTCCCGTGTTGACCACAAACTCTTCTAAAGCTGTGTCAGGGGGGCAGCTGAGATGCTTCTGTGTCATTCCTGCCTTGCAGTTGGATGCCACATTTTTTATGTGGTTTATAGTAAAAGTGTTTTTGTGAATTATGTTTCCCCCATGACCATGACGGTGATGGTCTCTTTTCAGTGGTGGCCACTGATAGGACTAGAGGAAATGGCTGGAAACTGAAACACCAAAAATTCCATAGGAACTTAAGGAAAAATTTCTTACCAGTGAGGGTGACAGAGCACTGGAACAGGCTGCCCAGAGCGGTTGTGGAGTCTCCTTCTCTGGAGATCTTCAAAACCCGCTTATATGCAGTCCTGTGCCACATGCTCTAGGTGACCCTGCGTGTGCAGGGGGGGTGGACTAGATGATCTCTAGAGGTCCCTTCCACCCCTAAGCATTCTATGATTCTATGATTCTATGACTGCCAGTGCTAGGTGCTCTACAAAAGCATGCACACAGTAGCCAGCTGGAGCTGGAAAAGCTCAGCATCTCTGTAACGGACACATCCCTTCTTTGTGTCATTGTCTGTATGTGAATTCATCCATAAAATCCTGTGTATCCTTCATCCATTCTCCTCATTCCAGTGGATGTGACTCTGGACCCTGACACAGCGCATCCTGAACTCACTCTGTCTGAAGACCGGAAAAGCGTGAAGCGTGGAGGCAAGAAGCTCATTCTGTCTCTCTTTGACAACCCCAAGAGGTTTAACGCTACGCCGCTGGTGCTGGGGGTTCAGGCCTTCTTCTCTGGCCGCTGCTACTGGGAAGTGCAGGTGGGAGATAAGCCGGAGTGGGGCCTCGGGCTGTGCAGGGATTCAGCCAGTCGCAAAGGCATCATTCTCTTCTCACCCAGCAACGGCTACTGGGTGCTGCGACTGCAGGTCAATGGCAACTATGAAGCCCTCACTTCCCCCGTTTCCATCCTGAACCTCAGCGTGAGACCCCGGTGCATTGGAATCTTCCTGGACTATGAAGCAGGGGAAATCTCATTTTATAATGTGACTGACCGCTCCCACATCTACACCTTCACGGACAAGTTCTCTGGCAATCTCCGGCCTCTTTTCTTCCCTGGTGCCTTGATGGGGGGCAAAAACGCAGAGCCCTTGGTGATCTCCTGGATGAGGGACACACAAGGGTCCGGGTGCATCATCCTGTAATGTGTGGTTAAAAGGCTACCCTTGGCACAGGACAGCCAGAGACCTGTGGGCCTGACCAGCTCCAGTCCTGAGCGGGAGGTTGGCAATGAGGCATCACTGGAGAAATAGGTGTGTGTTTGGGGCAAGCAGCATGGCAAAGGCCCTTGTGGTCCTCAAGGCTGGCAATGACCCACAAAGCAAAGTGCTGCAGAAACCATGGCCTTTCACATGATGCCCTTTGCCAGGTCACCCTTTGCCAGGCCCATGCCAGGAAGGGCATTACGTGGCAGGGAAGTGTCACAACCTGCTATTTCCCTGATGGGGACACCTTGCCCTGCTGGTCACCTTGCAAACTTTGGGTGAAGAGTGCGTGCACAGCCTGTACTGTAGTGCTGATTTTGGTGTGAATTGTACTGAAAGAAAGCAATAAAGAACTGTTTTGGGCAAACCTGTGCAGCTAGGAATACATTTTCATGCTCCAAACCTCTACTTAACACTCAGGGGCTGGCTAGAACCTGAGATCGAATTGCGCAGCAGTCTGTTTTGGAAAAGTGAAGGTCCTTGTACCTTTGTACTCACATCACCTGCCTGTTGTCAAGCATGTCCAGCTCAGCAGGTTGAGATATTAGCCTGGCCTAGAGGCTACTTAGTGCTTCTGTGGGTCTGGGAAGTCAGAATTAAGCTTGGGGCCACATATTGTCACTTGAGCACTGGCCTCTCCATTGTTGGTGACTATGACTTGCTCCTTAGCTGAACATGTTCCCAGAGAATGCAAGGTTGGAGCCTCCTCAGGAGCACCGGGCCTGCCAAAAGGCCCATGGTGCCCTGTGTCCTGGAATGCACAAAGCTGGGGACAGCCACTTGGGAATGGATCCGATCGTTGTGTGTGCGGGCGATGCTGGACACGGGTCCTCTCCTGGCCAGGCAGAGGCCTCTGGGGGTCACAATGTGGAATCAGTGAGACACTACAGTGAGCCAATACCTGCGGGTGTTGGGGCCTGACATTCAGTAGCTGCAGCTGCTTGTGTGTGGGCTGTCCTTGTGACACTGGGGTCTGGGGTGAAGGCAGGGGGATGTCCGTATGTATGGCAGGTGTAGCACCGCATGCCGGTCCCTGGATGCTTCTCTGAGCCCCTGGCAGGGAGATCATCTCCACGTTTAGTAGTTCCAACTCCCCTGCCTTCCCCCACAAACTGAAACAGGCAGCTCTGATGGTTTGAAAATTCCAACTATGGCAAATGGTGCATTGCTCAAACTGGGATGGGGGCACTTTGGATATTTCAAGACTAAGCGGAAGAAAAGTCTTTTTGGCTCCCCTGATCTCTCCAAAAGTCACCCACGCTACTTGAGACATTCCTTCTGCTTGAGGGTCTACTGCTGTTCTAGATGGGAGCTTCTGCCTGAACCAGGCTGCAGCCAGGTTTTTCTAGCAAAAACCCTCAGGCCCTTAAATCAGATGTTGCATCAGCCAGTTGTGCTCACTTAAACCCACATGTCTGCAGTTCATGGTTTCAGGAGGCAGGAACCTGCCACAGAGCCAGAGAAGGAGGAAATGATGGCAGTGGCCATTCACTGCTAGCCAGCGTGGCTGGAGACTGTCCTGAGCTGAGCAGAGCACCCAGGCAGACACACTCCAGTAATGTGTAGATCTCCCTCCTCCTTTTTGTGAAGACAAAAATAATGAAGCTGTTTAATCCAATGACTAATTCGATTTGAATAAAATGAGATGTGACCATGAGTTTATGAATCTTGAGAAAGCAGGTAGGAATGAATCTGAACTTTGAAGGCGTGACAGAAGTCTGCAAGCATAAGCTGTTGTGTGGAGAGTGGTGAGAGCAGCCAGGGAAACCAAATAAACAGGGTAACTGCTGTAAAGGGACCAGGTTGAGCGTCCTTGAATCATGGTGAGAGGAGGTGGTAAAATGGAAACTGTCAATAAAGTCAAAATAAACAGATAGTGGAAAGATGACAAGGGAGCAGCACCTCTACGATGCAAGAGGAGCTTTTCAGAGGCGTCAGGAGGGGAAGTTCATCAGTTCAGAGATCTTGCACATTGACGCTGGTGCAACTGGTGGAATGAATGAGTAGCTGAGCAGAAAGGATGTGGACTCATCTCTCAGCAGCACCCAAAGTGTTCCTAGAAACCATGAATCTGCATTCTGTAGGAAGGAGGGTAAAGGTCCAAGGAATGAGATAGCTGTGAAAATGCCATAAAATTTTCTGGCTGAAGGACTTGCCTGATTACTTGCAATTAAGACTTAAAGACCAGAAATCCATCTATTCTCAAGTGTCCAGACTGACTGGCATAGGACAGTTAGAGAAAGCCAAGAGCACTAGGACCAAACTTTTAGAACTCCTGGTGTCTTAGTGCTGAAGCAGCTCCTGAAGTTACTTGTAAACTGATTTTCAGTTTAAGCCACGTGGAAGGGCTACATGCAACAGCACAGAGACCATTGGACTCATCACTTTGGTGTCTCAGTAATGACTGTTCTCACTGTCATCAGCTCAGGCCTTAAGCAGCAGGTTACTCTCTTATGTGAAGGTAAGGCTATTTATTATTCAAGTGGCTGACCTGATTTTCCAAGCTAATCGCCTTGTTACAGTTTCTTCTGGGTGATCTCAGTGATGCTTTGCCAAAGCACGTTGTAATTTTCCCAAGCAGGAGAATGGGTGTATACACATGCCCGTGTGTTTTGTGAGAACTTCTTGGGTTCTGAGTATCCTCTGCTAGGTTTCTTGGAGCAAAGCTACCAAGATTCTTGGCAGCAATGCTTCTAGATCTGAAGTTTTAGAAAAGTGTTTTCTCAGCAAACGCCAACATCTTTCTTCCACTGCTAATATGCTGGGAAATACTTCATCATCTTCGAGGTGTGAGATGCCTATTTTTTTCTAAGAATGGATCAGAAATGTTCTTTCATATCTGAAATGTCACTTCTCCTTTCTGTTAGCCATTACTAGAAAAGTGATAAGCAGATACTATTCCTTGAAGTTTCTCCATTTCATCCTTATAGTAAATAATTCGGTTTCTTCACCAGTCTTGGAAGTCTGGGATATGTCCCTACCTTTGGAAAACACTGCCTTTGTGTGTGCAACTTGAAAAATTATCCGCGTTACCTCTCTGGAACTGAAAAGTCATGATCTAATGTCATCTATAGTGTCTTAAAAGTTAGAGTAAGCATATTCAGAAAATACCCAGAATTTTTACTTTTTTCTTTTCAGTATCTCAGCAATTTGGAACAGCCAACATACTCCAGATTGGGTTTTCTGACTATGAGGACTTTTGCTTCTCTTTCTTTTTCCTGCGAAGAGTCTCCTGCAATCCCTTGATTCCAGGAGATAAGTCTTCAAACCAAATACCAAGTATCAGAAGACATGTGATCTCAAGACTCTGCTTTTCTGAGCAGACAGCCATTTTACCTTCTGGGAGCCTAATTCCTTTCCTAAAATGGGAAGGGGTAAAAACTGTGCTATCTTCCACGACAACTGCTCTCTGTGGTTTCCTGTTCATATCTGCATTGGCACAGAGCAGCTCCTCTTTCTGTGCAACGTCAGACTTGAATCTCCAACTTCCCTGGATGTCACTGTCCCTTAAAATGCCTATGGACACAGTAGGATAAGTAACATATTTATAAATATTTACTTGTATATTATAATAATGAATTTATTCTTGTTGTAAGAATAGTGATTTTATTTTTTGCTCACAGTAAGGCAAACACATGGTTTTCATTAAAAATATTTACTTTTAGTAATACATAAGATTTTCCTTCAAATAATGTGACTAAACATTCATAGAAAAAAGTGATGTTCTGTATATTCTGAAAGGCATTAAAAAACCTTCCCTGCATCAGAAGACAAAAGGTCTCTCAAAATCTGACCTATTGCACAAAATATTTAGTAAATATTGAAGTCTGGTTTCAGGATGAGTCTCTTTTGTAGCAGGTTACACATTTTGAAACATTTGAGACTGCCGGTCTTTTCTCAGTCTGTCTGAGTCCGGGAAATCTTGCTGCACTTACAAAATACCTTCTTGTTGGGTCAGAGCCTTCTCTTTTTCTCAGCTTGCTGGGCCCCAGCTTCGTTAGTGTGTTCTGGTTCTTGGCTGACCTGCCCCCTTTCCTGTGGGTGCTCCGTGATAGCTGCATGAGGCTGTTTCTGAGTGGGAAGACCTTTGTGGTTAGCCCCCAAAACCCATGCATGGAGCATGGGCATATCCTGATCCATGGGCTGATGTAGGTTGTAGCTCCTTGAAACTCCACCAGCCACCGAGACACTCAGTATACGGATATTCTCGCTTCTCTCAGCCTCTGGTAGCAAGGTCAGCCTTGAATAACTGAATCAATTCATGGCCAATATATCCCCTGCTCCAGACAGACAGTAATCTCCACATGTAGATTCATGTTAATAAAGATGTGGGTGCCACACACAGTCCCCATCTTGCCTGCGTGCTCCAGCCTCAGCTTCTTGCATTCCTCTTCCACCTTTGCAAAATCCAGTAGTGGTGAAGGTCACCAAGAAGACTTCTTCCACAAGCACACGTCTGCTTTCAGATCTCAGAGGCTGCTGCCAGATTTCTGAAAGCTGCTGGCTGCCTTTGCCTTGGTATTGAGGACTTTGTTCACCTCTCTGGGTGTGAGAGTGGGAATTAAGGGACCGTTATACTCCAAGCACCTACTGCGAAGGGTTCTCTGAGCTGTACTGAGTGAGCAGTTGTAAGGTTGAGAGAGACATGAACAGATAAGTTCAGATCTCTTGCTCTTCAAGACTCTCTGCAGGCTCCCAAAATATTGGTGAGGAGTCAGCTGTGATGTCCAGCAGAAGGATCTGCTCTATAAGGGGTGATTATATCCATGTCTTTAATGAGCACATAGACAAATGTGGTGTTTGCACAACCATGAGCCAGGTTAAATGGCTCAAGTAACAGGTTAAATGAGTGTGTGGGCTGTGAAGGGTTCATCAGCTGGCTTTGCCTGCTGTGTCCTTTGGTGAGGAACTCCATAGCTGTGGGGTTGATCCCAGTGCCGTGGGGCTGGATGTGGATTGCACCTGAGAAGGACTGTGGAGGCTTGAACCCTTTTGGGCTGACCCACGCTCCTGGGTAGAAGCTCAGTGTATTGGGAAGCCCATGGCATGACAAGTCTCCTCCTGAAGCTGGTCCTGGGGCATGTGGCCAAGCCCCAGCCCTTTGGGCAGTCCAGGTTGTCACTGAGGCCATCACATATAGGTGGTATCTCCACATCACCAAAGGCACTTGCAGAGATGCCTTTGTGGACTGCCCATGCAATTTGCCTGGATGTGCAGCTCCCTGCCTCCATCCATGGAGGGGGGCATCTCTGCAGGAAAGGGTCCTCTGATCCTGCTTCCTAGCTCAGCTCAGGGTTTGAAATCCTTCCTCCTCCATGGATGTTGTTTTAAGCTGTGTGCAGTCAGTGCTGTACTGAGATGATTGATGGGTTCATGCCACCTCATGGGCTGAGAAGGTAGAAGCTGCTGTCCCCAAGTGTCCTCCTTCCTCAGAGACACCCCCATTCCTTCCAATTCCACCTAATGCTGCTCTCCCCACGCAGCTCCTGCCTAGTCGACTTTCTCTTTTCTCATCTTCTATTCCCACCACAAGTTCCAGACTTGTTCCCCCATTGCTCATTGATGTTCATGCCTGTCCTTGTAAATTCAACACTAAATGTCGTGGGATGGAGGAGTCAGCTGAGTGCAGGTGGGTCTCTGATCTTAGCCCATCACTTGGCCTCCCTTATAAGTACCAGATGTCTAAGCAATAAATTAGAGAAACCAGGGCCCTTGTGGCATCAGTGTTTGTCCAGAGTGGATAGAGGGATTGCACCTAAACATCACTAGTGGCGTGGACTGGATCTTCATTGGCTCCGGTGGGAGAGAGGCCCAGGGCTCTGGTGGAGAGTCCTTGCAGAGACGTGTCTTTTCCCAACAGGTAAGTGCAAGAGATTGTGCTGCTCACTGCCTTAGTGTTGTCCAGAGGCAGGCAGGTTTCCACAGGAAAAGGAAAACAGCTTTTTTTCAGATACATTTGCTAAGGCCCATTAGCCCTAGGTAAATGCAGCCTAAATATTTCTAAAAATCTGATAGAGAAACCTCTTTTTTTGGTTCTTAGTTCAGGATGTAGCTGATCCATTTTATTTGCAGTTTTCACAAAACTCAGCCTGACTCAGCAAGAATTTCAGCCCCTAAAGATAACATTTTAATTGACTATAATGGGGCCTAAAATGGGAAATATCTAGTTGCCAACAGTCATAATGAAAAGCGATTAAGTATTTTATTAAAGGAGGAACCTAAACCATGTGATGTAATCTCTGACCTTCTCACTCCTCTTTCCTTCCAGATTTTTCTTTGCTGATTCAGTATAACAGCAAGCTCAAGTGGGAAGAATTTGCTTTTTTTTTGTCGGGTTAGAAAAGGGACTAAGAATATGCCCCCGCCACTATAATTTCATCTATTTTCATCACAAATAATTGTAACAGAGGCAAAGATGGATTTTTTTAATAAAAATATTTATTTCTTAAAATATAAATTAAATTATGCATCAAAAGTATAATAGTTAAATAAAAATATATAAATTAAACAAGAGACTTCATTTAAATATATTAAAAATTAAATATTCTTCATATTTGTCTAGAAGTTATTTGACCTTTTCTCTCACATTAAAATATACATAGAAAAATATTAAAATCATGCTTTGACCATTTTCAGTTTCTTAACATTTAAGCAATATGGAAGCATTTCTGATTAAATGCTTTGCTGGCAATTGCTTGCTTGTCCCGGCAGCAGTGTGGACCACACGTGGCGCAGTCAGCACAGAGTGTCCCCTTCTTCAGTTCAGTTCCAGGTCGTTCACGTACTCCTGGACCCATGGGCTCTCAGGATTGGCACAGACTTCACGGCCTTTCCTTGTGATGAACCTGTGAAGTGCAAAGGAAGAAATTTAGTATGGGTGATTGCTGCATGGAGGAAAGCCATGTCCCACTCCCGGCCTCCCACAGGAACAGTTGGATTTGGGGCATGGGACCCATCTCTGTCTTTCATTCAGGTAGCCACCAGCCAGCCTGCAAAGCTCTGGCTCTGGGGCAGGACTGATGTGGGCCTCAGTATGTGCTGCATCTATGGAGCATCACCTCACACCTCTTAGGCCACCTTTCTCCTATCCACCTGAGCTGCTTTCAAGTTCCTTTCTCCCTCCCTAGCCCTTTTTCTCCCACTGGGATCTCAGATGTCCATTGACATCTTTCCCCCTCCACCTCTGCAAACGTGAGGGAATATCATTGACCCAAAGGGACCTGCCGCGGCTGCCGAAGGGGACACTTACACAACGGCTGGCATGGAGCACATGCTGTTGGTCTCATAGTAGTCAGCCACGAAGCTGCGGGGCAGCTGCCGGGAGACGTAGGTGAAACAGCAGGAGGTTGGTGTGTCAGTGCCAGCTGCAAAGGACAAAGACAGTCATGAGCATCAGCAAGGGGCAAGGGGCTTGAGCAGGAATCTGGGACCTTATTCCCTGCAATTATGGGGAACAGAGAGGACATGGAAGAATAGAAAAGGCGATTTGATTCTTTTTCTTTTATTTTCACCCTGAGCTGTGGTTTTCCCTGTCAGGAGATCCCCCACACCCAAGACCCTGGCGCACCTGCTAGAATGTGATCTGGCATGGAAAAAGACTCAAGGGTGGATGGGCTGGCAGAAAGTACCCATTGCCAGTTGTACAATCTCCCCTTTCCCTAGCACAACCATTCAGAGAGTTAGAGAAGAACCCAAACTCACCGGGAGCAGCAGTGGTCTGATAGCAGAAGACTGCAATGAGAACAGCAAGAACAGCTACAGAGATCTTCATGCTGGCTGTGAAGCGGTGTCAGGAGCAGAAGCAGGGCAGTGGAGCTTGCAAGCCTCCTTTCTGGCTGATGCTGAGACATCCTGCGACAGTCCAATTTATGGGGCGAGGAGAGCCAGGCAACGGCTTGCGTAGGTGCGGTGGAATTTCCCCCAGAGATTAGGGCAGTTCTAATGGTGAAATCTCGTGATGGAGTGAAGCAGCAACACCAACTCCGGAAGCGTAAAGCTCTCCCCTCGGTTCAATGCCTCTCCACTAACACAGGATATGAAACAATAAGTATCTATTTCTGCTTCTTTCATAAATGTCCCTTAGTAAGAAGTTCCCCTGTGGAGGTTCCTGTGTTTGTCAACAGGCCCAAATTACCCAACCTGAAAAAGCGTCTTGGAGGCAAGAGTGTGTCCTTCCAAGCGCAGAGCTGCACAAGCAATCTGAATAGCATAGTGTGGATGAGGCTGGCTTAGCAAGAAGGTGGCTGAGGTCTCTTCTGCCCAGGACATCTGCACAGCTGCTCAATCAGCACAAGACAGGCGCCATCACCAGTGGGCTCCATGACAGGCATGTGCTTCACATATAACAAGAGGACTCAGTGCATGTCTTGTAAAATGTGTTGGGCAGGAGACCAGGGACCCAGAAACTGAAAAACTTCTTTTCCCTTCTCAGCTAAAGAGAGCCAAAATGGGGAGTTAACTGCTGGATGACATGCTTACCTCACTCTAGGTCCTATAAGGGATCCCTAAATGACATGTATAGATTAGACGCTTAATTTTCAATGTCTACTACTTAAATGAGATAAGGTCTACCATTGCTGGGCATGGAGATGAAGAGAACTAAAATGGGGGTGGAAATTGCAGTAGATAGCGACCCTGAAGATGAGGCAGAAGGAGTCCAGGAGTAGTGAGGAAAAATTGCCCAATTTTGAAGAACAGGAGCAGGTTAATTGAACTGAGGAACAAGGAGACACTACAGGCAAAAGCAGGATGGCAGGGAAGAAAAGAGTATCCAGTCTCAACAGAACAGAAAAAAATGTAATGACTATGAATAAAGAGGAATAACGATAGTATACAGGTGAAGGCCAGAAGTTAGAGCTTTGTGAGGAAATCACCAGTTTATGCATGGACTGCCATGGAGGTCTATCAGACTCCTCTCCATTGCTGGGGGAGGAAACTGAAGTCATGGAAAGGAACAAAGGTGACGAGGCAGCTTGAGGATGGGTGCTCTGGGGAAGGCTGGAAACTGTCCAGCCTGACAAGATGCCCCTAGAAAGACAGCTCTTCTCAACTGAGTGGTTCACCAGTTGGTCCCCTGGCTGTCTGTGACTGAGACTTCATCATGGATAGATGCTTTCAGATCAGGAAAAGAGGGATGAATGCTGGGTGTATTCTCCACACAAGAGGATAAAGGGTATCAGAGAAAAGAACATCATCAGGAAAAAGAAAACCAGAACGGAGAAGGTAACAACAAAGATTGATGTAAGTGACAGGTCAGGTAGGAAATACTGCTAAGACCTCTTAGGTATGGAGCTGAATGTTATGAGGAAAAGAAGTATTTTAACCATAACTCAAAGAAGTTGTGCATCGAATGGAGTAAGCAGGGTGCCCGGCACAAGACACAAGACATGGTGATGGAGATGAGGTGGGGAGCTTACACCTTACCATATGCTGTGTCATATGAAACCGAAGCAGATGAACAACAGGAACACAGGCAGAGGACTCAAGGTAGTACTACACATGAAGTGGGAATTGTGTCTATAGTAGAATCAATGCACATTGGGATACCATTGGGACAATCTAAGAAAAGAGCTCCTGAGGCAGCTGGGACTGTTTGACAGCCTTCAGGTCTGGATGGAAGTGGAGATGGATGTCTTGAATGAAAGCAAACTGATGCTAGGAGCTGTGCCAGCACTGGACCCCACCCCAGTCCAGATACTGACTGGGGAACAAATGCCATTATTGGTGAGGAGCACTAAGGACGGATGTGACAGCTTATCAGCTTTCTTCAGACATTGCCTGAGCTAGCAAGAAATGTTGTCATTAGGCTTGATTTGGTGAGGACACTACTTAGAACTGTTCTTAGTTTGCTTGGATCATAGATCACTTTGGCCCAAGCCATCACAGGTCAATTGCAAGAAAATTAAATAGAAAGTGGATAAAAATAGCTTATAATTAGCTGTTTTGGGAATACCTGTGGAGAACACCAAAAATACGGTATATCAACCAACACATTCACAGCAGGAGAAAGACTCTGAGAAGAGTCCCAAGGATAGCTCAGTTGGATTTGCCCAAGACACTGAGGCAGTTGACACCAAGACAAAGTTCCTCAGGTGGGACAAGGTTTGAGTGATGGCATGGAAAGGGGAGCCTGCCTCAGGGAAAGGGTCAAACCAGTAATGAAGGCTATGAGAGTGTAGGACTTCATCTATGAATACACTGAGGAGAAATAGTGTGAAGAAAAGAAGGGCCGTGAAGTCTATGCTTGACATAAGACGAAATTGGTTTAAGCCTTCTACAAGGGAACTGAGACTGGGAATCTGCAAGTTTGTAAACAACAGAACAGAGAATTCTGGGATGGAGATTAACGCAATAGAAAAGTAGTTTTAATTATTTTACTTGGGTGAAGAAGTCAGGCCTAGAAGTCTTGGGGTCCTTTCCAGACCTGTGTCCTTGGGGCCTGTTTCTGGATTTTTCAGGTTTTTCTATTTCATAATTTTCCGCTACTCAATGTTATCTTTGCAGATGCTGCATAAAGGTCTGCAGAAGGAGTATAAAGTAAAATAGAGCATCCCCCCTGCACTGCCATTGCTTCACACCCTGACCACAGAGCTGGGTGCTGACTCACAACAAGTGTTCCTATAAAAGTCTTCTGGCTATTAACATGGGGCAAGTTCCGTAAATGATATGGTGTTTTCCAAATCTCACTCTGATGTCACATGATCTGCACAGCCCCTCTGCCAGCTGCAGATCACAAAAGTGCAGATAGGGCAGACCCTGAGCAGCCATGGGTCTGCAGAGTCCCAGACTTGCACAGGAGGAAGATGGCTCACAAGAGAGGTCCCTGAGATTGCCCTACCTCAAGACGCTCCCTTGAGAGGAGGCACATGCAGGGACCCGAGGCTGTGCGAAGGACAGATGAAACCAATTAGCCACAAAATCTGCTACAAAACCAGTGTAGCACATGTGGCTGTGGCCAAGTTGAGCATCACCTCCTTCCCGCAAGGCCATGGCCACGATGATCCCTGTTCCAGCCTTCCCTTTGCAATCCTTCCGGGATGGTGAGACACCGAGTGGCACCCACACAGGCTCACTCATCCGTCCAGATCCCACTCCTCTCTGCACCTGACAGGACACTCACTCATGGATAGCCTGGGAAACAGTCTGCCTCTGCAAGCAGAGGGCCTGGCCTCACACCCAGCGAGGCAGAATCTGGAAGCGCTGCTAGATGAACAGCAACACTAAGTGCTGTTAGATGAACAACAGCTGGAGAAGAAATGAACTTTTTGGCTGCCTCATCTTAGTTTGCTCTTCTGCCTGTTTGCTCAGGGAATATAACTTGCAAATGTACGCAAGAGCGTGATTCCTCTGTAACTGAAACGTTTATACACTCGGGGATTTCCCAGTTACGGACATCTGGTCCTATCCTGCTCCCACGGCACTTCATGTGTGTAGGGTAGGCAGGGAAAATGCTATTTATGGTGTAAAAATGGTCTGATGAAAAACAGAGATTTCATTAAAGCAGAAGAACTGTTTGGAAAACTACATTGCTTTCTAAAATGCTTTCGAGAGAAATTTTTTTTTTCTATTGCAGGTATCTGAAAGTCTCCAAGTGTTTTTACCTTTGCTGTAAAATAGATGTCAAAATAGTTTGGACTGCTATTTTTTTAATTAATTAAAAATACCTCTCATTTGGCTGAATTATTTTAGGATGGGATTAGCCTAGTTTAGGACCTGTTTCTGTGTCTGTATTACAGGGGTCAGGTTAGGGCTGAGACTTTGTCGCTGCTGAGTGCCAAAAAGTTAGGACGCTGGTAATCCAGCATTATATCATTTCAAGAGAGGTCTGACAAATGCTTTCAGCTTCCTAGATCTTTGCAGTCTTCAAACGGATGGAAAGCTGTGATGACGGTCATAATAGCAGTGCCCTGAGGCATTGCAATCTAAAAATATTTCCTTGCCCTTTCCCCTGCAGTCCAGTCATAATGACTGTATTTTTTTTTTTGTGGTTCTTCCCTTTTTTATAAAGAAAGAACCTCTCTGTGGGGGAAGGTGAGAGGAACGGGTGTCTCAAATGAAGGATACCTAACCTATGAGGTGCTTTGAGGTGGGGAGATGGTCATGGAAGAACCACCAGAATAGACTGGAATGCTGCTTACATCTGCAGGGAAAATTAGGCCAGTGCGAAAGGTGGTACAAAAGGAGGGTTCTCTCCTTGTCTCTGGCCAGTTTGAGGGCTGCATGTCCCTATGCTGAGGCTGGAGCCCAGCTCGTGGCTTGCCCTTGTGCCCACCACAGGCAGGCGGTGCTCAGGGTAGGCAGGATGGGCTAGGGCCTGGTGAAACAGTCCAGCTGATGTTCTGTCGCCAATTTGCATTAATTTGCATGGAGGAATATGTTAGAGCTTTTCCTGTTGGACACTGAAAATAACAGGAGAAAGTGCTAACAAAAGCAAAAAATGCCCCAAATAAAATCCAGTCAGGGCAAAAATAGGGATTTTTTTTTGCTTTGTCTGATGAAAGGGGAACCCTGAAAAAACTGCTGATATTGGCTGATCTAAGTTTCTATTTATGGCAGGTTTTACTGTTGAGAATCTTGGGATCCTCTCAGAAGAGGAAGTGCTTAGAAATGTCCTGGGTCCAGAAACTACTTCCAGTACATGATCAGCTCTTTGACTTCAACCAGCAACAGTCTCCATCCTGCCCTAATCGGAGCTCGGTAATGATGACTTGCTATAAGCTTGTTCGGAATACTTTATTTTCCTTCTACATAATTGACATTTCTGGAGAAATACTGGAGTTTTTAGGATGATGTCATGTCCCAGAACTGGC